GACAACCAAACGAAACCGCTAACAGCAGAGGGCAGTATCCATATAGATTCTATATAGTAGAGCTCGCTTACCAGACGAAACCAGGCCTTTAATTTAAGGCTGGCAATTGCCACTATAACTAAACTGGCTTTAACAGCTGAAGTCCCAAGAATCTTTCCCCTGGCTTTCCTTGTTAGCCTAAGATCCATCCTTTAAAAAGCGATTGCTGTTACGGGACTTTGAAATAAGTCACTGACTTTCTTTTGGTGTAAGAGACAGAGACAGGGGCTTAAGCTGGCTTAGACAGATAAACCCGCTGGTTCGGTTCCTCTCAAGCTAAGATGCCTTCCCAACGGGTAGAGGAGCACGCAGCTGAAAAACTTTAATATCCGTCTTACCTACATACCCATCGTCACCACGCACCCTTCTCGCGCTAGGTTGCGCAGACAAAGTTGTTATTGTGCGATCTGGGGCGGACACGTCAAGTCAGATTTTACACAGTTGCCATTTCACTTCATTGTCATGATTGAGATAACTGAATCCCTGAGCCCCGCTGCGTTGCATTCACTAGAACAGTTCTACCCAGTGATACGAGGGACATTCGCTTCCTAACCTAATGAAAAGAGCTTCGCTCACTTCGGTTCAAGTTAACCTATCCCATATAGTATAGTATAGTATAGTATAGTATTCTCAAGATTCTTAGGCCAGGGTTCCAAACCTTATATGATCGAATTGCTCATAAGACATCAGATGGAATTTCCCGTAAAATGGAATCAACCACACCTTCTATGTTATGTCAACTTACACCTTTTTCATTGAAAAGGATTTTGGCTCTACTCTTTCGAATTCTAATTCAAATCTCCGGCTAAAAAAAGTAGCTACTATACCTCACCCAGGAAGATCTACAATGTCCTTTCCTGTGAATTAATAGGTTGGAGAATATTTATACGTTGATGCGGGCCTACCACCAAATCTCTGCAGTGAAGTCCTTTGCCGGATATCCCTAAAAACCTGGTAGATATCCCAACTTTCAACTTTCCTGGCTCACTACTATCTATCCTATAAAAAAAGCCATCTCTCTCTTTCCTCAACTACGTCCTTGTTTATCCCCGCCCTGCTCTTCGGATGATGTCTTCCCCCGTGCTTGAGTAGAAGTAGCTTCCCCACAAGAGAATCTTTCTTCATTTCATGTCTCGACCCTCGCTTCGAAAGCTACTGAAAACCCGGCATAAGAACTCCCGCTTGAAACCGTTACTGGTTTGCTACTCTTTCTTTAGTAGATTTCCGGTTGCTTGCTCTGAATGCCTGGGTGAAAAGGTAATGCTGAGACGAATGGTTGACCCACTTTGGCTCGATCTATCGCTTGTAGAGGCATGCCTACGTCCTTCCTGCCTTTTTCGAATCTATGGTTTCCCATGACCTGAGTGAGACGGAGCTGAACTACTAAAGTTGCTAACTAGCCCTGGCTTTCTTCCACTTCAACCAACCTTCGTCTATCACATCATATCTCACAGTTGTCAACCCTTGAAGAGATTCCCGCCTTTCTTGCTAAAGCGGCTTTCATGCAAGCAAGCCTTTGTAATGCGCCAACCAATCCCAGAACATTGATTTTCACAAGAAAGGACCTTTAAATGCATACATCAAAAGAAATTCTCAAATCAATGCATATACTTACTTAATAATTAAAACAAAGGATAAAGGGTAGATGCCACTAGAGAGACTGCATATTCAAATAAATCTCAATTTCCAGTCCAAGATAGATCACAGAGAGCCTGCTGGAAATTGAGATTAAGATCGAGTTCTTTACCTACCGCAACACTTTGTAGAGCAAAGACGGGGCCAGTGAGTGCCAGCTAAAGATCCGAAAGTCAAATCGATACCCAGCTGCGTCACACCAAGGGCATAGACGAGAGCAGAGTAAGCGCCCAAGCAGCCAACAGCATAAAAAGTTTTCGCTCCTTTCGTTTGGTTTCCCAGTAGTAGTCCCCGCCAAGAGTGAATAAGAAAGCTCTTGGCGCCTTGGAACGAGCTCATATATATGATAAAAAGTAAGTGGTCTCAGAGAGTTTAGAGTGCAATAAGATAGGGAGGGGCATCTTAGGGTTCTTTGACTACTGTTGGAGAGCACACAGATCACTGTGGTACTCGAGAAAAAGAGTCAGCCGCTTAGAGGAGAGGCTCGAGTTGAGGTTGCTAATGTCCCCACCTTCACCCGCTTTTAGAAGTGGATTCGAACCACTGGACTCTATTTTCTGAGGATACATTGATTCTGTTCAGCCGTTACCATTCTATATGCCTTTTCGGCCTTAAACCCCTTATCCCGTAAATGTATGCAAACGATGCAGGAATCGAAGTTGAGTGATTCAGTAAGATAGAATAGCAATTGAGACAGATAGGGAGCATGCCATTCCATTCAAGGGCTGGTTTTCCTATTTATTTGAAATCTTATCCCGTCGTCACCTTGTAAAAAGCTAATGCGACACCCCATTCTTATTTATATTAAGAAATTAAGGACCAACCGGCACACAAAGGGGTGAACCCACCTTGTCTAAGACGCGAATGAACGAACATTTGAAAGAGATGGTGACAAACAAGGAAATCGGCGCATTTGGCTCTACCTCTCACGCCAAACCATCGTGGTTGGAACTTGTTTCAATGAAAAAAATGACCGAAACATCTCTTCCTGAACAGGCCCAGAGGAAATACAATCATTGAAGTCGTCCCCGGCAATCATCTTTGAAGTGACACAACAGACTATGACTAGACATCTCGAGGAAAATATTCCCTCCAGACAGACTGAACCCCGTCAAGCCTGTAGGACTAGTGTTTTGACTATCTAGAGCTGTGGTTGGTTGTTGACCAACAGAAAGAAAGCATGGCATTTTTTTATATGCACTTTTCCCTTTCGAACCATGTCTCTCGGAGAAGCGCTCTTTCAGCTCCCCTTGATTCTTGCGTTTTGGGGTTGGTTGGCTACTCAATCAATAGCGTCCGTGAAGTGATTGATGTTCGATTGGGCTTTCGCCCTTCAAGGTCTTAGGAATCGATTGAATCATCCCTGTACTTCTACTCGATAGAGTGATAGAGTGATCGAATCGGACGCTGTGCCATTGATTGATCAGCTCTTAGATGGGCTTGTTGAGATAGGTCAGAATGAAGCAAATGCCCCTAGTGGAAGGAATATGCCCAGAGGTGGTTTAGAGAATAAGTCAATAAGTAAGATCGAAAGGGCAGGGATATCTCTGGGGTAAAGACAAGGAGCCTAGCTAGGTCCCTTGTCACTAATCCGAATCTGCGGAAGAGGAAGAGGCACCCAACATATAAGAATCGGACTAAGAAAAGATGGATCCGTTTAAATGAAATGGTTGATGCTTTACTGGTCCCCCGCCTTCTCCTTGATCAAATAGTGTAAGGAGAAAAAAAACCCTATTATTTCCCTTTCTTTCTTTTGAAGTTCTTTCTTAGGTTTCTCTTCTTCCTGTAATTTGTAGAATATTAAGACTAGTTAGAGCATAAGGATTAGCAGAATCGTAAAAAAAAAAATTGTGATGTGATATAAAGAAGAGGAAAAATTCCCATACTTCTATATAGTACGAAGCACTCGTAGCACTTGCTAAGAGTTACCTAATTGATTGAATACCAGTAAATTTACCACAAGAGTATACTCATTTCCGCAACACAATTTCATTGCTTTGGATGCGGCTCCTTTAACTGCTAATCTTTTTCCACCCGAAGGCTAGTTAAACATATGTCGCAAAGAGTAGTATCTGAATCTGTATCTGATGAGGATACTGCTGCAGCGGCTGAGGCTGTGGTAGTATGAAGGAATTCCCTCCTCGAGATAGTCGATATAGAGAATTGTCCGCCTAAAAGAAAGAATCGCGAGTTTACTCGCTTCCAAAAAGCCTTCCTTACAGTAAAGGTAAGTCATCCTATTCTTATAATTAGCCTGAAGGGTAGCTAAGACGCCCCCTTCCCATTCATTTTACCTTGGGATGATAAAATGAATCTTTCCCCTATATGAAAGTATGAAAGAGGTTGACTTTATTTCAAAGAGTTAGCAGGGTAAGGGCTTAGAAGAGATTAGCGCTTTGGTTAACAGTGGAAATTAGCCTAGCCCTCGTCAGGCAGGCTACTGATTAGCTTGATGAGCAGAAAAGCATACTGACCCGATGAGTCATATCATACAGGGCTTGATTCCATTTTATTAAATAATCTAAGTAAGAAAGCAGCAAAGAACATGAGTAGCACAAGTTCTTGAGGGTAGATCTTTTCACTCTTTTTCGATGCAAGAAGAGTCAGTGTCATTCTAGCGACTTCTTGAGAGCACCGACGGAGCGAAGCAATTCAACCAGAGTATCCCAGCTCTCAAGTTAGCTCGGGACGGGAGGGTATCAAACCATTGAAAGCAGATGCTGAATTAGATCCAGTATCTCTCACAGATGAAAGAAAGGAAGCAGAGAATGAAGAGAGGATGTGACTACTATACTACTAATACCTTTATTATATTATATTAGAATACCTTTCATTTAAAAAAAAGGTGTATGTACGGGTTGAAAGATAAAATTCCACTATCTCCCAGACTGAACGAGATGAGGTTTTATAAGTCATATATCCAATTTCATTGATGACAAAAAAACGGGCTTTCCTCAAACGATTGGAACAAGAATAGGTTCTTGTCTCTTTGAATCGTATCATCCATGGCGAATGGTATCGTATATAAGAGAAAGGCCGCATTTAGGAGTGAAAAAAAAGGAACATCTTTATGAGATGAACGTAATCTATATCTCTTCTTTGGTTAGGAAAAATGAACTTGCTGTAGGGGCCTTAACATCGAATCACACATAGCGAGTGTTTCTTTCTAGTAGCTGCTTCACTTTAGTAGCAATTTTGTTTGTGTAGAACCACATAACTTGCTCGGAAGCTATTGCATTGATAGGCAGAGCTTACCGGTACAATAAAGCAGGCAATTGAATCCTTCGCAAAAGAACTCATTTAGCTTGAGCGAGTGAAATTTTCATCATTCCCTAATCAAAACCAAAAGCAAAATCCCAAATAGAATGTAATTGCCCTAATTAATTTCATTTCGACTTTTACGAAAAAAAGAAGTTTGTCTAAATCTAAAATCTTTGACTGGGACTGGTCCTCCATCATTCCCCTCCCCCCCCAGCGCTAGGTCCTTAGAGGCCTCTTCCCTTTCTTCTTGTATGAGAAGAGAGGGAGACTACACCTTCTTCTGTCGGAATACGAAGAAGAAAAAAGTGACAGATTTGTCCATCAGTAATGGGGATCACATTGGTGGGAATATAGGAAGCTGAAGGACTCCAATTTCAATGTGCCCAATTTCAAAGAGTTGTTTTTTATATATTATATATATAGTAGAAATCTTTTTTAAAAGTAGATAGAGGATGTGTGGGCATCCGCGCGACACAATTCCTCAAGCATCTGAGACAGTTTATGGGAAGGATACTCAGTTTGCCTATTCGTAAGGATTGACTCCCCAATAATGAAATGAATTGCATTTTTTTTCTCGCCAAAAGGCATAGGGCCAAGGCGGAATCCAATTGCGCCATTCGATCGACAATCTGCCCTTTCTTTTAGTTGAGCGATCGCTCGCGCTTCCTCCATAAGCAGCTTGTCCGCATTTGCTTGAGGGAATGGGCGTAATCGATACAGAATCCTATCCTCCGCTTCCGAGAGAGCTTGATCCACTACCTCCTTCGGGTGGTCCGATGTGGAGGAGGCAGGCTCCGGCTCAGCCGCTGGAGGACGATTTAAGTCAATGTCCCACCGAGGGCAAGGTTTTGATGAGCTTGATTCCCCGGAAGTCCCCGATACACCCACAATTAGAAAGGGGAAAACAAGATCTCCAAAAAGAATGAATACCCAAGCGATTAAGTAGATAGATGCGCAGGAAATAAAAAAAGAAGGAGATGCAAAACAAAATAGAAGGAAGAGAAACACAAGAAAGACACCGTCTTTCTAAACCATCATAACAAAAACGGTTCAAACATAAAAAAAATAGGTTTTCCTACTAGGACCAGATTCTGACCTGTTATCATACTCGCGGTTCTTCCGTCAGATCCGATAGTCCTTGCTAAAGCTACTGCGATCAGACAAGGAAGACAGCGAAGGGAAGAATGGAAATGGAAATGGATCATTGTGCTATCTGGTTTACCCTTTATCCCACTTATTCCTTTCCGCTACCCTTTCTTTCTTTAGAGCAAGAAGCGGAACTATAGAGATGATATGAAAGTTTTGTCTTACGAATCGGAAGATGTCCAACAGCCACGAAGGAAGGTTGCTCCCAATCTTAAAGTTCTTTTTTATTTCTTTTTAAAGCGAAACTACGACATTCACCGAGGTTGGCACAGGGAGCCGCTCCGAGTGTGAGAATCCGATGCCGGGGTGATGGGAGGGGGGTAAGAGAAGCGAGATTTTTGTATGCACGAGGAAAGAGGAGATTGTTAATAGAAAGCTAATAAGCTCTTTTTGTTTGTTTTTGGGCTTCCCCTTTTTCAATCACCTCCTACCTTATGGAAAGCCCACTGCTTAAGACCCTCAATCGAAAGGTCAAGGATTGTTCGTGCTGTTCCGTATATAGATAAGACCATCTCCGGTTCTTGGAAACCCACCGCTCTTCTTCTTATCGCTCTGCTTCTAGCTATTCGGATAGACCACACCTCAGAAAGAAAGTCCGCTATTCTATTCCATATCATGGCAGCAATCCCGGGAATGGGCATCCATTATCAGATGTCTAGGCACAAAAAGAGAGATATGCCAGAAAGACAGGATACAGGTACTCTACGGGAGAAGGGATTGGATTTGGCACGCTGAAACCCTAAGTCCCCTGTTCCCTTTCTTATGATAAAAGAGATTGTTGAGTCCAATTGTGGGTGGAGAAGGCGTCTATGCTTGAAACTGATCCTTAAGATAAGAGAGGATTTTCCATCGAAAGAATTCGGTAGGAGACAGTCTCATAACTCTGCTAAAATGAGAGTAATAAGCTCAATGCCCTTACTCAACTCACAAGAGTAAAGAAATTCAATTTAATCTCTCCAAGAGACTTGACCTCTCAAAATCTTTCTTAAAAGTCATGACGCTCTCCCTTTAAGAAAGAGTTATATCATATGTGAAGCCTTTCACATTATATCCTCCGGAATAAAGTAAGGACTTTTTCCCGTACCTAAATTCAAGGCCTGATATCACAGCGCCTACCCTGCAGATGAAAGACTTTATCCTTAGAGGCGGTTTTTGTTTGAATGAATTCCTACCATTAGTGGCTTACTAAAAAAGAAATTGCGTATAGCAAGAAAGGAAGAAGAAGGATAGATGACTAAAGAAAGTAGGTACTGGGACCTTTTGGAACATGATTAGGGATAAAAAAAGAATATTAGACTGATACGTACGAGCGAACAATAGTTCTTATCTCTTCTCTGTACCGGTAAAGACTTTGACCTTAGAGTAAGGGGAGGGCCTAAGACTTTCTTTCTAGTCGGGAAGATCATTTCTTAATCGAAGCCATAGCTTAAACCCGGATAGAAGGACTTTCTCTGGAAAGGCTCTAGGAATAGAAGCCATAGGCCGTTGAGCAATAGACTGAAGAGGCATCTCTAACAAAGGGAGAAGGCCAGAGATTCATTAATAACGGATCTCGACCCCTCACCCGTACTGATGGGAATGACGGGCACTGCATCTTAAGATGCCGAAGCCGAGGAACTGAACCAAACCAATGACTTTCTTGACTTTCTTTAAAGGCTGGCATCCCGGACTGAAAAAGGATCAACTAGGAAGACTGGGCAGAAAAAGATCTTCTTACCCGCAGTAGCGACAATCAGGAACACGACTTCTATAATTAGAATATGATTTTCGCCTTTTTACTTACATTACAATAGGGGCATTGACTTCAGTCTCAACTAGACCTAGACCCGCTCGAACAGGATTGCTTTAATGGAAAGAACAAAACGGAAAGGACAACCAAACGAAACCGCTAACAGCAGAGGGCAGTATCCATATAGATTCTATATAGTAGAGCTCGCTTACCAGACGAAACCAGGCCTTTAATTTAAGGCTGGCAATTGCCACTATAACTAAACTGGCTTTAACAGCTGAAGTCCCAAGAATCTTTCCCCTGGCTTTCCTTGTTAGCCTAAGATCCATCCTTTAAAAAGCGATTGCTGTTACGGGACTTTGAAATAAGTCACTGACTTTCTTTTGGTGTAAGAGACAGAGACAGGGGCTTAAGCTGGCTTAGACAGATAAACCCGCTGGTTCGGTTCCTCTCAAGCTAAGATGCCTTCCCAACGGGTAGAGGAGCACGCAGCTGAAAAACTTTAATATCCGTCTTACCTACATACCCATCGTCACCACGCACCCTTCTCGCGCTAGGTTGCGCAGACAAAGTTGTTATTGTGCGATCTGGGGCGGACACGTCAAGTCAGATTTTACACAGTTGCCATTTCACTTCATTGTCATGATTGAGATAACTGAATCCCTGAGCCCCGCTGCGTTGCATTCACTAGAACAGTTCTACCCAGTGATACGAGGGACATTCGCTTCCTAACCTAATGAAAAGAGCTTCGCTCACTTCGGTTCAAGTTAACCTATCCCATATAGTATAGTATAGTATAGTATAGTATTCTCAAGATTCTTAGGCCAGGGTTCCAAACCTTATATGATCGAATTGCTCATAAGACATCAGATGGAATTTCCCGTAAAATGGAATCAACCACACCTTCTATGTTATGTCAACTTACACCTTTTTCATTGAAAAGGATTTTGGCTCTACTCTTTCGAATTCTAATTCAAATCTCCGGCTAAAAAAAGTAGCTACTATACCTCACCCAGGAAGATCTACAATGTCCTTTCCTGTGAATTAATAGGTTGGAGAATATTTATACGTTGATGCGGGCCTACCACCAAATCTCTGCAGTGAAGTCCTTTGCCGGATATCCCTAAAAACCTGGTAGATATCCCAACTTTCAACTTTCCTGGCTCACTACTATCTATCCTATAAAAAAAAGCCATCTCTCTCTTTCCTCAACTACGTCCTTGTTTATCCCCGCCCTGCTCTTCGGATGATGTCTTCCCCCGTGCTTGAGTAGAAGTAGCTTCCCCACAAGAGAATCTTTCTTCATTTCATGTCTCGACCCTCGCTTCGAAAGCTACTGAAAACCCGGCATAAGAACTCCCGCTTGAAACCGTTACTGGTTTGCTACTCTTTCTTTAGTAGATTTCCGGTTGCTTGCTCTGAATGCCTGGGTGAAAAGGTAATGCTGAGACGAATGGTTGACCCACTTTGGCTCGATCTATCGCTTGTAGAGGCATGCCTACGTCCTTCCTGCCTTTTTCGAATCTATGGTTTCCCATGACCTGAGTGAGACGGAGCTGAACTACTAAAGTTGCTAACTAGCCCTGGCTTTCTTCCACTTCAACCAACCTTCGTCTATCACATCATATCTCACAGTTGTCAACCCTTGAAGAGATTCCCGCCTTTCTTGCTAAAGCGGCTTTCATGCAAGCAAGCCTTTGTAATGCGCCAACCAATCCCAGAACATTGATTTTCACAAGAAAGGACCTTTAAATGCATACATCAAAAGAAATTCTCAAATCAATGCATATACTTACTTAATAATTAAAACAAAGGATAAAGGGTAGATGCCACTAGAGAGACTGCATATTCAAATAAATCTCAATTTCCAGTCCAAGATAGATCACAGAGAGCCTGCTGGAAATTGAGATTAAGATCGAGTTCTTTACCTACCGCAACACTTTGTAGAGCAAAGACGGGGCCAGTGAGTGCCAGCTAAAGATCCGAAAGTCAAATCGATACCCAGCTGCGTCACACCAAGGGCATAGACGAGAGCAGAGTAAGCGCCCAAGCAGCCAACAGCATAAAAAGTTTTCGCTCCTTTCGTTTGGTTTCCCAGTAGTAGTCCCCGCCAAGAGTGAATAAGAAAGCTCTTGGCGCCTTGGAACGAGCTCATATATATGATAAAAAGTAAGTGGTCTCAGAGAGTTTAGAGTGCAATAAGATAGGGAGGGGCATCTTAGGGTTCTTTGACTACTGTTGGAGAGCACACAGATCACTGTGGTACTCGAGAAAAAGAGTCAGCCGCTTAGAGGAGAGGCTCGAGTTGAGGTTGCTAATGTCCCCACCTTCACCCGCTTTTAGAAGTGGATTCGAACCACTGGACTCTATTTTCTGAGGATACATTGATTCTGTTCAGCCGTTACCATTCTATATGCCTTTTCGGCCTTAAACCCCTTATCCCGTAAATGTATGCAAACGATGCAGGAATCGAAGTTGAGTGATTCAGTAAGATAGAATAGCAATTGAGACAGATAGGGAGCATGCCATTCCATTCAAGGGCTGGTTTTCCTATTTATTTGAAATCTTATCCCGTCGTCACCTTGTAAAAAGCTAATGCGACACCCCATTCTTATTTATATTAAGAAATTAAGGACCAACCGGCACACAAAGGGGTGAACCCACCTTGTCTAAGACGCGAATGAACGAACATTTGAAAGAGATGGTGACAAACAAGGAAATCGGCGCATTTGGCTCTACCTCTCACGCCAAACCATCGTGGTTGGAACTTGTTTCAATGAAAAAAATGACCGAAACATCTCTTCCTGAACAGGCCCAGAGGAAATACAATCATTGAAGTCGTCCCCGGCAATCATCTTTGAAGTGACACAACAGACTATGACTAGACATCTCGAGGAAAATATTCCCTCCAGACAGACTGAACCCCGTCAAGCCTGTAGGACTAGTGTTTTGACTATCTAGAGCTGTGGTTGGTTGTTGACCAACAGAAAGAAAGCATGGCATTTTTTTATATGCACTTTTCCCTTTCGAACCATGTCTCTCGGAGAAGCGCTCTTTCAGCTCCCCTTGATTCTTGCGTTTTGGGGTTGGTTGGCTACTCAATCAATAGCGTCCGTGAAGTGATTGATGTTCGATTGGGCTTTCGCCCTTCAAGGTCTTAGGAATCGATTGAATCATCCCTGTACTTCTACTCGATAGAGTGATAGAGTGATCGAATCGGACGCTGTGCCATTGATTGATCAGCTCTTAGATGGGCTTGTTGAGATAGGTCAGAATGAAGCAAATGCCCCTGGTGGACCAGTAAAGCATCAACCATTTCATTTAAACGGATCCATCTTTTCTTAGTCCGATTCTTATATGTTGGGTGCCTCTTCCTCTTCCGCAGATTCGGATTAGTGACAAGGGACCTAGCTAGGCTCCTTGTCTTTACCCCAGAGATATCCCTGCCCTTTCGATCTTACTTATTGACTTATTCTCTAAACCACCTCTGGGCATATTCCTTCCACTAGGGGCATTTGCTTCATTCTGACCTATCTCAACAAGCCCATCTAAGAGCTGATCAATCAATGGCACAGCGTCCGATTCGATCACTCTATCACTCTATCGAGTAGAAGTACAGGGATGATTCAATCGATTCCTAAGACCTTGAAGGGCGAAAGCCCAATCGAACATCAATCACTTCACGGACGCTATTGATTGAGTAGCCAACCAACCCCAAAACGCAAGAATCAAGGGGAGCTGAAAGAGCGCTTCTCCGAGAGACATGGTTCGAAAGGGAAAAGTGCATATAAAAAAATGCCATGCTTTCTTTCTGTTGGTCAACAACCAACCACAGCTCTAGATAGTCAAAACACTAGTCCTACAGGCTTGACGGGGTTCAGTCTGTCTGGAGGGAATATTTTCCTCGAGATGTCTAGTCATAGTCTGTTGTGTCACTTCAAAGATGATTGCCGGGGACGACTTCAATGATTGTATTTCCTCTGGGCCTGTTCAGGAAGAGATGTTTCGGTCATTTTTTTCATTGAAACAAGTTCCAACCACGATGGTTTGGCGTGAGAGGTAGAGCCAAATGCGCCGATTTCCTTGTTTGTCACCATCTCTTTCAAATGTTCGTTCATTCGCGTCTTAGACAAGGTGGGTTCACCCCTTTGTGTGCCGGTTGGTCCTTAATTTCTTAATATAAATAAGAATGGGGTGTCGCATTAGCTTTTTACAAGGTGACGACGGGATAAGATTTCAAATAAATAGGAAAACCAGCCCTTGAATGGAATGGCATGCTCCCTATCTGTCTCAATTGCTATTCTATCTTACTGAATCACTCAACTTCGATTCCTGCATCGTTTGCATACATTTACGGGATAAGGGGTTTAAGGCCGAAAAGGCATATAGAATGGTAACGGCTGAACAGAATCAATGTATCCTCAGAAAATAGAGTCCAGTGGTTCGAATCCACTTCTAAAAGCGGGTGAAGGTGGGGACATTAGCAACCTCAACTCGAGCCTCTCCTCTAAGCGGCTGACTCTTTTTCTCGAGTACCACAGTGATCTGTGTGCTCTCCAACAGTAGTCAAAGAACCCTAAGATGCCCCTCCCTATCTTATTGCACTCTAAACTCTCTGAGACCACTTACTTTTTATCATATATATGAGCTCGTTCCAAGGCGCCAAGAGCTTTCTTATTCACTCTTGGCGGGGACTACTACTGGGAAACCAAACGAAAGGAGCGAAAACTTTTTATGCTGTTGGCTGCTTGGGCGCTTACTCTGCTCTCGTCTATGCCCTTGGTGTGACGCAGCTGGGTATCGATTTGACTTTCGGATCTTTAGCTGGCACTCACTGGCCCCGTCTTTGCTCTACAAAGTGTTGCGGTAGGTAAAGAACTCGATCTTAATCTCAATTTCCAGCAGGCTCTCTGTGATCTATCTTGGACTGGAAATTGAGATTTATTTGAATATGCAGTCTCTCTAGTGGCATCTACCCTTTATCCTTTGTTTTAATTATTAAGTAAGTATATGCATTGATTTGAGAATTTCTTTTGATGTATGCATTTAAAGGTCCTTTCTTGTGAAAATCAATGTTCTGGGATTGGTTGGCGCATTACAAAGGCTTGCTTGCATGAAAGCCGCTTTAGCAAGAAAGGCGGGAATCTCTTCAAGGGTTGACAACTGTGAGATATGATGTGATAGACGAAGGTTGGTTGAAGTGGAAGAAAGCCAGGGCTAGTTAGCAACTTTAGTAGTTCAGCTCCGTCTCACTCAGGTCATGGGAAACCATAGATTCGAAAAAGGCAGGAAGGACGTAGGCATGCCTCTACAAGCGATAGATCGAGCCAAAGTGGGTCAACCATTCGTCTCAGCATTACCTTTTCACCCAGGCATTCAGAGCAAGCAACCGGAAATCTACTAAAGAAAGAGTAGCAAACCAGTAACGGTTTCAAGCGGGAGTTCTTATGCCGGGTTTTCAGTAGCTTTCGAAGCGAGGGTCGAGACATGAAATGAAGAAAGATTCTCTTGTGGGGAAGCTACTTCTACTCAAGCACGGGGGAAGACATCATCCGAAGAGCAGGGCGGGGATAAACAAGGACGTAGTTGAGGAAAGAGAGAGATGGCTTTTTTTATAGGATAGATAGTAGTGAGCCAGGAAAGTTGAAAGTTGGGATATCTACCAGGTTTTTAGGGATATCCGGCAAAGGACTTCACTGCAGAGATTTGGTGGTAGGCCCGCATCAACGTATAAATATTCTCCAACCTATTAATTCACAGGAAAGGACATTGTAGATCTTCCTGGGTGAGGTATAGTAGCTACTTTTTTTAGCCGGAGATTTGAATTAGAATTCGAAAGAGTAGAGCCAAAATCCTTTTCAATGAAAAAGGTGTAAGTTGACATAACATAGAAGGTGTGGTTGATTCCATTTTACGGGAAATTCCATCTGATGTCTTATGAGCAATTCGATCATATAAGGTTTGGAACCCTGGCCTAAGAATCTTGAGAATACTATACTATACTATACTATACTATATGGGATAGGTTAACTTGAACCGAAGTGAGCGAAGCTCTTTTCATTAGGTTAGGAAGCGAATGTCCCTCGTATCACTGGGTAGAACTGTTCTAGTGAATGCAACGCAGCGGGGCTCAGGGATTCAGTTATCTCAATCATGACAATGAAGTGAAATGGCAACTGTGTAAAATCTGACTTGACGTGTCCGCCCCAGATCGCACAATAACAACTTTGTCTGCGCAACCTAGCGCGAGAAGGGTGCGTGGTGACGATGGGTATGTAGGTAAGACGGATATTAAAGTTTTTCAGCTGCGTGCTCCTCTACCCGTTGGGAAGGCATCTTAGCTTGAGAGGAACCGAACCAGCGGGTTTATCTGTCTAAGCCAGCTTAAGCCCCTGTCTCTGTCTCTTACACCAAAAGAAAGTCAGTGACTTATTTCAAAGTCCCGTAACAGCAATCGCTTTTTAAAGGATGGATCTTAGGCTAACAAGGAAAGCCAGGGGAAAGATTCTTGGGACTTCAGCTGTTAAAGCCAGTTTAGTTATAGTGGCAATTGCCAGCCTTAAATTAAAGGCCTGGTTTCGTCTGGTAAGCGAGCTCTACTATATAGAATCTATATGGATACTGCCCTCTGCTGTTAGCGGTTTCGTTTGGTTGTCCTTTCCGTTTTGTTCTTTCCATTAAAGCAATCCTGTTCGAGCGGGTCTAGGTCTAGTTGAGACTGAAGTCAATGCCCCTATTGTAATGTAAGTAAAAAGGCGAAAATCATATTCTAATTATAGAAGTCGTGTTCCTGATTGTCGCTACTGCGGGTAAGAAGATCTTTTTCTGCCCAGTCTTCCTAGTTGATCCTTTTTCAGTCCGGGATGCCAGCCTTTAAAGAAAGTCAAGAAAGTCATTGGTTTGGTTCAGTTCCTCGGCTTCGGCATCTTAAGATGCAGTGCCCGTCATTCCCATCAGTACGGGTGAGGGGTCGAGATCCGTTATTAATGAATCTCTGGCCTTCTCCCTTTGTTAGAGATGCCTCTTCAGTCTATTGCTCAACGGCCTATGGCTTCTATTCCTAGAGCCTTTCCAGAGAAAGTCCTTCTATCCGGGTTTAAGCTATGGCTTCGATTAAGAAATGATCTTCCCGACTAGAAAGAAAGTCTTAGGCCCTCCCCTTACTCTAAGGTCAAAGTCTTTACCGGTACAGAGAAGAGATAAGAACTATTGTTCGCTCGTACGTATCAGTCTAATATTCTTTTTTTATCCCTAATCATGTTCCAAAAGGTCCCAGTACCTACTTTCTTTAGTCATCTATCCTTCTTCTTCCTTTCTTGCTATACGCAATTTCTTTTTTAGTAAGCCACTAATGGTAGGAATTCATTCAAACAAAAACCGCCTCTAAGGATAAAGTCTTTCATCTGCAGGGTAGGCGCTGTGATATCAGGCCTTGAATTTAGGTACGGGAAAAAGTCCTTACTTTATTCCGGAGGATATAATGTGAAAGGCTTCACATATGATATAACTCTTTCTTAAAGGGAGAGCGTCATGACTTTTAAGAAAGATTTTGAGAGGTCAAGTCTCTTGGAGAGATTAAATTGAATTTCTTTACTCTTGTGAGTTGAGTAAGGGCATTGAGCTTATTACTCTCATTTTAGCAGAGTTATGAGACTGTCTCCTACCGAATTCTTTCGATGGAAAATCCTCTCTTATCTTAAGGATCAGTTTCAAGCATAGACGCCTTCTCCACCCACAATTGGACTCAACAATCTCTTTTATCATAAGAAAGGGAACAGGGGACTTAGGGTTTCAGCGTGCCAAATCCAATCCCTTCTCCCGTAGAGTACCTGTATCCTGTCTTTCTGGCATATCTCTCTTTTTGTGCCTAGACATCTGATAATGGATGCCCATTCCCGGGATTGCTGCCATGATATGGAATAGAATAGCGGACTTTCTTTCTGAGGTGTGGTCTATCCGAATAGCTAGAAGCAGAGCGATAAGAAGAAGAGCGGTGGGTTTCCAAGAACCGGAGATGGTCTTATCTATATACGGAACAGCACGAACAATCCTTGACCTTTCGATTGAGGGTCTTAAGCAGTGGGCTTTCCATAAGGTAGGAGGTGATTGAAAAAGGGGAAGCCCAAAAACAAACAAAAAGAGCTTATTAGCTTTCTATTAACAATCTCCTCTTTCCTCGTGCATACAAAAATCTCGCTTCTCTTACCCCCTCCCATCACCCCGGCATCGGATTCTCACACTCGGAGCGGCTCCCTGTGCCAACCTCGGTGAATGTCGTAGTTTCGCTTTAAAAAGAAATAAAAAAGAACTTTAAGATTGGGAGCAACCTTCCTTCGTGGCTGTTGGACATCTTCCGATTCGTAAGACAAAACTTTCATATCATCTCTATAGTTCCGCTTCTTGCTCTAAAGAAAGAAAGGGTAGCGGAAAGGAATAAGTGGGATAAAGGGTAAACCAGATAGCACAATGATCCATTTCCATTTCCATTCTTCCCTTCGCTGTCTTCCTTGTCTGATCGCAGTAGCTTTAGCAAGGACTATCGGATCTGACGGAAGAACCGCGAGTATGATAACAGGTCAGAATCTGGTCCTAGTAGGAAAACCTATTTTTTTTATGTTTGAACCGTTTTTGTTATGATGGTTTAGAAAGACGGTGTCTTTCTTGTGTTTCTCTTCCTTCTATTTTGTTTTGCATCTCCTTCTTTTTTATTTCCTGCGCATCTATCTACTTAATCGCTTGGGTATTCATTCTTTTTGGAGATCTTGTTTTCCCCTTTCTAATTGTGGGTGTATCGGGGACTTCCGGGGAATCAAGCTCATCAAAACCTTGCCCTCGGTGGGACATTGACTTAAATCGTCCTCCAGCGGCTGAGCCGGAGCCTGCCTCCTCCACATCGGACCACCCGAAGGAGGTAGTGGATCAAGCTCTCTCGGAAGCGGAGGATAGGATTCTGTATCGATTACGCCCATTCCCTCAAGCAAATGCGGACAAGCTGCTTATGGAGGAAGCGCGAGCGATCGCTCAACTAAAAGAAAGGGCAGATTGTCGATCGAATGGCGCAATTGGATTCCGCCTTGGCCCTATGCCTTTTGGCGAGAAAAAAAATGCAATTCATTTCATTATTGGGGAGTCAATCCTTACGAATAGGCAAACTGAGTATCCTTCCCATAAACTGTCTCAGATGCTTGAGGAATTGTGTCGCGCGGATGCCCACACATCCTCTATCTACTTTTAAAAAAAGATTTCTACTATATATATAATATATAAAAAACAACTCTTTGAAATTGGGCACATTGAAATTGGAGTCCTTCAGCTTCCTATATTCCCACCAATGTGATCCCCATTACTGATGGACAAATCTGTCACTTTTTTCTTCTTCGTATTCCGACAGAAGAAGGTGTAGTCTCCCTCTCTTCTCATACAAGAAGAAAGGGAAGAGGCCTCTAAGGACCTAGCGCTGGGGGGAGGGGAATGATGGAGGACCAGTCCCAGTCAAAGATTTTAGATTTAGACAAACTTCTTTTTTCGTAAAAGTCGAAATGAAATTAATTAGGGCAATTACATTCTATTTGGGATTTTGCTTTTGGTTTTGATTAGGGAATGATGAAAATTTCACTCGCTCAAGCTAAATGAGTTCTTTTGCGAAGGATTCAATTGCCTGCTTTATTGTACCGGTAAGCTCTGCCTATCAATGCAATAGCTTCCGAGCAAGTTATGTGGTTCTACACAAACAAAATTGCTACTAAAGTGAAGCAGCTACTAGAAAGAAACACTCGCTATGTGTGATTCGATGTTAAGGCCCCTACAGCAAGTTCATTTTTCCTAACCAAAGAAGAGATATAGATTACGTTCATCTCATAAAGATGTTCCTTTTTTTCACTCCTAAATGCGGCCTTTCTCTTATATACGATACCATTCGCCATGGATGATACGATTCAAAGAGACAAGAACCTATTCTTGTTCCAATCGTTTGAGGAAAGCCCGTTTTTTTGTCATCAATGAAATTGGATATATGACTTATAAAACCTCATCTCGTTCAGTCTGGGAGATAGTGGAATTTTATCTTTCAACCCGTACATACACCTTTTTTTAAATGAAAGGTATTCTAATATAATATAATAAAGGTATTAGTAGTATAGTAGTCACATCCTCTCTTCATTCTCTGCTTCCTTTCTTTCATCTGTGAGAGATACTGGATCTAATTCAGCATCTGCTTTCAATGGTTTGATACCCTCCCGTCCCGAGCTAACTTGAGAGCTGGGATACTCTGGTTGAATTGCTTCGCTCCGTCGGTGCTCTCAAGAAGTCGCTAGAATGACACTGACTCTTCTTGCATCGAAAAAGAGTGAAAAGATCTACCCTCAAGAACTTGTGCTACTCATGTTCTTTGCTGCTTTCTTACTTAGATTATTTAATAAAATGGAATCAAGCCCTGTATGATATGACTCATCGGGTCAGTATGCTTTTCTGCTCATCAAGCTAATCAGTAGCCTGCCTGACGAGGGCTAGGCTAATTTCCACTGTTAACCAAAGCGCTAATCTCTTCTAAGCCCTTACCCTGCTAACTCTTTGAAATAAAGTCAACCTCTTTCATACTTTCATATAGGGGAAAGATTCATTTTATCATCCCAAGGTAAAATGAATGGGAAGGGGGCGTCTTAGCTACCCTTCAGGCTAATTATAAGAATAGGATGACTTACCTTTACTGTAAGGAAGGCTTTTTGGAAGCGAGTAAACTCGCGATTCTTTCTTTTAGGCGGACAATTCTCTATATCGACTATCTCGAGGAGGGAATTCCTTCATACTACCACAGCCTCAGCCGCTGCAGCAGTATCCTCATCAGATACAGATTCAGATACTACTCTTTGCGACATATGTTTAACTAGCCTTCGGGTGGAAAAAGATTAGCAGTTAAAGGAGCCGCATCCAAAGCAATGAAATTGTGTTGCGGAAATGAGTATACTCTTGTGGTAAATTTACTGGTATTCAATCAATTAGGTAACTCTTAGCAAGTGCTACGAGTGCTTCGTACTATATAGAAGTATGGGAATTTTTCCTCTTCTTTATATCACATCACAATTTTTTTTTTTTTACGATTCTGCTAATCCTTATGCTCTAACTAGTCTTAATATTCTACAAATTACAGGAAGAAGAGAAACCTAAGAAAGAACTTCAAAAGAAAGAAAGGGAAATAATAGGGTTTTTTTTCTCCTTACACTATTTGATCAAGGAGAAGGCGGGGGACCAGTAAAGCATCAACCATTTCATTTAAACGGATCCATCTTTTCTTAGTCCGATTCTTATATGTTGGGTGCCTCTTCCTCTTCCGCAGATTCGGATTAGTGACAAGGGACCTAGCTAGGCTCCTTGTCTTTACCCCAGAGATATCCCTGCCCTTTCGATCTTACTTATTGACTTATTCTCTAAACCACCTCTGGGCATATTCCTTCCACTAGGGGCATTTGCTTCATTCTGACCTATCTCAACAAGCCCATCTAAGAGCTGATCAATCAATGGCACAGCGTCCGATTCGATCACTCTATCACTCTATCGAGTAGAAGTACAGGGATGATTCAATCGATTCCTAAGACCTTGAAGGGCGAAAGCCCAATCGAACATCAATCACTTCACGGACGCTATTGATTGAGTAGCCAACCAACCCCAAAACGCAAGAATCAAGGGGAGCTGAAAGAGCGCTTCTCCGAGAGACATGGTTCGAAAGGGAAAAGTGCATATAAAAAAATGCCATGCTTTCTTTCTGTTGGTCAACAACCAACCACAGCTCTAGATAGTCAAAACACTAGTCCTACAGGCTTGACGGGGTTCAGTCTGTCTGGAGGGAATATTTTCCTCGAGATGTCTAGTCATAGTCTGTTGTGTCACTTCAAAGATGATTGCCGGGGACGACTTCAATGATTGTATTTCCTCTGGGCCTGTTCAGGAAGAGATGTTTCGGTCATTTTTTTCATTGAAACAAGTTCCAACCACGATGGTTTGGCGTGAGAGGTAGAGCCAAATGCGCCGATTTCCTTGTTTGTCACCATCTCTTTCAAATGTTCGTTCATTCGCGTCTTAGACAAGGTGGGTTCACCCCTTTGTGTGCCGGTTGGTCCTTAATTTCTTAATATAAATAAGAATGGGGTGTCGCATTAGCTTTTTACAAGGTGACGACGGGATAAGATTTCAAATAAATAGGAAAACCAGCCCTTGAATGGAATGGCATGCTCCCTATCTGTCTCAATTGCTATTCTATCTTACTGAATCACTCAACTTCGATTCCTGCATCGTTTGCATACATTTACGGGATAAGGGGTTTAAGGCCGAAAAGGCATATAGAATGGTAACGGCTGAACAGAATCAATGTATCCTCAGAAAATAGAGTCCAGTGGTTCGAATCCACTTCTAAAAGCGGGTGAAGGTGGGGACATTAGCAACCTCAACTCGAGCCTCTCCTCTAAGCGGCTGACTCTTTTTCTCGAGTACCACAGTGATCTGTGTGCTCTCCAACAGTAGTCAAAGAACCCTAAGATGCCCCTCCCTATCTTATTGCACTCTAAACTCTCTGAGACCACTTACTTTTTATCATATATATGAGCTCGTTCCAAGGCGCCAAGAGCTTTCTTATTCACTCTTGGCGGGGACTACTACTGGGAAACCAAACGAAAGGAGCGAAAACTTTTTATGCTGTTGGCTGCTTGGGCGCTTACTCTGCTCTCGTCTATGCCCTTGGTGTGACGCAGCTGGGTATCGATTTGACTTTCGGATCTTTAGCTGGCACTCACTGGCCCCGTCTTTGCTCTACAAAGTGTTGCGGTAGGTAAAGAACTCGATCTTAATCTCAATTTCCAGCAGGCTCTCTGTGATCTATCTTGGACTGGAAATTGAGATTTATTTGAATATGCAGTCTCTCTAGTGGCATCTACCCTTTATCCTTTGTTTTAATTATTAAGTAAGTATATGCATTGATTTGAGAATTTCTTTTGATGTATGCATTTAAAGGTCCTTTCTTGTGAAAATCAATGTTCTGGGATTGGTTGGCGCATTACAAAGGCTTGCTTGCATGAAAGCCGCTTTAGCAAGAAAGGCGGGAATCTCTTCAAGGGTTGACAACTGTGAGATATGATGTGATAGACGAAGGTTGGTTGAAGTGGAAGAAAGCCAGGGCTAGTTAGCAACTTTAGTAGTTCAGCTCCGTCTCACTCAGGTCATGGGAAACCATAGATTCGAAAAAGGCAGGAAGGACGTAGGCATGCCTCTACAAGCGATAGATCGAGCCAAAGTGGGTCAACCATTCGTCTCAGCATTACCTTTTCACCCAGGCATTCAGAGCAAGCAACCGGAAATCTACTAAAGAAAGAGTAGCAAACCAGTAACGGTTTCAAGCGGGAGTTCTTATGCCGGGTTTTCAGTAGCTTTCGAAGCGAGGGTCGAGACATGAAATGAAGAAAGATTCTCTTGTGGGGAAGCTACTTCTACTCAAGCACGGGGGAAGACATCATCCGAAGAGCAGGGCGGGGATAAACAAGGACGTAGTTGAGGAAAGAGAGAGATGGCTTTTTTTATAGGATAGATAGTAGTGAGCCAGGAAAGTTGAAAGTTGGGATATCTACCAGGTTTTTAGGGATATCCGGCAAAGGACTTCACTGCAGAGATTTGGTGGTAGGCCCGCATCAACGTATAAATATTCTCCAACCTATTAATTCACAGGAAAGGACATTGTAGATCTTCCTGGGTGAGGTATAGTAGCTACTTTTTTTAGCCGGAGATTTGAATTAGAATTCGAAAGAGTAGAGCCAAAATCCTTTTCAATGAAAAAGGTGTAAGTTGACATAACATAGAAGGTGTGGTTGATTCCATTTTACGGGAAATTCCATCTGATGTCTTATGAGCAATTCGATCATATAAGGTTTGGAACCCTGGCCTAAGAATCTTGAGAATACTATACTATACTATACTATACTATATGGGATAGGTTAACTTGAACCGAAGTGAGCGAAGCTCTTTTCATTAGGTTAGGAAGCGAATGTCCCTCGTATCACTGGGTAGAACTGTTCTAGTGAATGCAACGCAGCGGGGCTCAGGGATTCAGTTATCTCAATCATGACAATGAAGTGAAATGGCAACTGTGTAAAATCTGACTTGACGTGTCCGCCCCAGATCGCACAATAACAACTTTGTCTGCGCAACCTAGCGCGAGAAGGGTGCGTGGTGACGATGGGTATGTAGGTAAGACGGATATTAAAGTTTTTCAGCTGCGTGCTCCTCTACCCGTTGGGAAGGCATCTTAGCTTGAGAGGAACCGAACCAGCGGGTTTATCTGTCTAAGCCAGCTTAAGCCCCTGTCTCTGTCTCTTACACCAAAAGAAAGTCAGTGACTTATTTCAAAGTCCCGTAACAGCAATCGCTTTTTAAAGGATGGATCTTAGGCTAACAAGGAAAGCCAGGGGAAAGATTCTTGGGACTTCAGCTGTTAAAGCCAGTTTAGTTATAGTGGCAATTGCCAGCCTTAAATTAAAGGCCTGGTTTCGTCTGGTAAGCGAGCTCTACTATATAGAATCTATATGGATACTGCCCTCTGCTGTTAGCGGTTTCGTTTGGTTGTCCTTTCCGTTTTGTTCTTTCCATTAAAGCAATCCTGTTCGAGCGGGTCTAGGTCTAGTTGAGACTGAAGTCAATGCCCCTATTGTAATGTAAGTAAAAAGGCGAAAATCATATTCTAATTATAGAAGTCGTGTTCCTGATTGTCGCTACTGCGGGTAAGAAGATCTTTTTCTGCCCAGTCTTCCTAGTTGATCCTTTTTCAGTCCGGGATGCCAGCCTTTAAAGAAAGTCAAGAAAGTCATTGGTTTGGTTCAGTTCCTCGGCTTCGGCATCTTAAGATGCAGTGCCCGTCATTCCCATCAGTACGGGTGAGGGGTCGAGATCCGTTATTAATGAATCTCTGGCCTTCTCCCTTTGTTAGAGATGCCTCTTCAGTCTATTGCTCAACGGCCTATGGCTTCTATTCCTAGAGCCTTTCCAGAGAAAGTCCTTCTATCCGGGTTTAAGCTATGGCTTCGATTAAGAAATGATCTTCCCGACTAGAAAGAAAGTCTTAGGCCCTCCCCTTACTCTAAGGTCAAAGTCTTTACCGGTACAGAGAAGAGATAAGAACTATTGTTCGCTCGTACGTATCAGTCTAATATTCTTTTTTTATCCCTAATCATGTTCCAAAAGGTCCCAGTACCTACTTTCTTTAGTCATCTATCCTTCTTCTTCCTTTCTTGCTATACGCAATTTCTTTTTAGTAAGCCACTAATGGTAGGAATTCATTCAAACAAAAACCGCCTCTAAGGATAAAGTCTTTCATCTGCAGGGTAGGCGCTGTGATATCAGGCCTTGAATTTAGGTACGGGAAAAAGTCCTTACTTTATTCCGGAGGATATAATGTGAAAGGCTTCACATATGATATAACTCTTTCTTAAAGGGAGAGCGTCATGACTTTTAAGAAAGATTTTGAGAGGTCAAGTCTCTTGGAGAGATTAAATTGAATTTCTTTACTCTTGTGAGTTGAGTAAGGGCATTGAGCTTATTACTCTCATTTTAGCAGAGTTATGAGACTGTCTCCTACCGAATTCTTTCGATGGAAAATCCTCTCTTATCTTAAGGATCAGTTTCAAGCATAGACGCCTTCTCCACCCACAATTGGACTCAACAATCTCTTTTATCATAAGAAAGGGAACAGGGGACTTAGGGTTTCAGCGTGCCAAATCCAATCCCTTCTCCCGTAGAGTACCTGTATCCTGTCTTTCTGGCATATCTCTCTTTTTGTGCCTAGACATCTGATAATGGATGCCCATTCCCGGGATTGCTGCCATGATATGGAATAGAATAGCGGACTTTCTTTCTGAGGTGTGGTCTATCCGAATAGCTAGAAGCAGAGCGATAAGAAGAAGAGCGGTGGGTTTCCAAGAACCGGAGATGGTCTTATCTATATACGGAACAGCACGAACAATCCTTGACCTTTCGATTGAGGGTCTTAAGCAGTGGGCTTTCCATAAGGTAGGAGGTGATTGAAAAAGGGGAAGCCCAAAAACAAACAAAAAGAGCTTATTAGCTTTCTATTAACAATCTCCTCTTTCCTCGTGCATACAAAAATCTCGCTTCTCTTACCCCCTCCCATCACCCCGGCATCGGATTCTCACACTCGGAGCGGCTCCCTGTGCCAACCTCGGTGAATGTCGTAGTTTCGCTTTAAAAAGAAATAAAAAAGAACTTTAAGATTGGGAGCAACCTTCCTTCGTGGCTGTTGGACATCTTCCGATTCGTAAGACAAAACTTTCATATCATCTCTATAGTTCCGCTTCTTGCTCTAAAGAAAGAAAGGGTAGCGGAAAGGAATAAGTGGGATAAAGGGTAAACCAGATAGCACAATGATCCATTTCCATTTCCATTCTTCCCTTCGCTGTCTTCCTTGTCTGATCGCAGTAGCTTTAGCAAGGACTATCGGATCTGACGGAAGAACCGCGAGTATGATAACAGGTCAGAATCTGGTCCTAGTAGGAAAACCTATTTTTTTTATGTTTGAACCGTTTTTGTTATGATGGTTTAGAAAGACGGTGTCTTTCTTGTGTTTCTCTTCCTTCTATTTTGTTTTGCATCTCCTTCTTTTTTATTTCCTGCGCATCTATCTACTTAATCGCTTGGGTATTCATTCTTTTTGGAGATCTTGTTTTCCCCTTTCTAATTGTGGGTGTATCGGGGACTTCCGGGGAATCAAGCTCATCAAAACCTTGCCCTCGGTGGGACATTGACTTAAATCGTCCTCCAGCGGCTGAGCCGGAGCCTGCCTCCTCCACATCGGACCACCCGAAGGAGGTAGTGGATCAAGCTCTCTCGGAAGCGGAGGATAGGATTCTGTATCGATTACGCCCATTCCCTCAAGCAAATGCGGACAAGCTGCTTATGGAGGAAGCGCGAGCGATCGCTCAACTAAAAGAAAGGGCAGATTGTCGATCGAATGGCGCAATTGGATTCCGCCTTGGCCCTATGCCTTTTGGCGAGAAAAAAATGCAATTCATTTCATTATTGGGGAGTCAATCCTTACGAATAGGCAAACTGAGTATCCTTCCCATAAACTGTCTCAGATGCTTGAGGAATTGTGTCGCGCGGATGCCCACACATCCTCTATCTACTTTTAAAAAAGATTTCTACTATATATATAATATATAAAAAACAACTCTTTGAAATTGGGCACATTGAAATTGGAGTCCTTCAGCTTCCTATATTCCCACCAATGTGATCCCCATTACTGATGGACAAATCTGTCACTTTTTTCTTCTTCGTATTCCGACAGAAGAAGGTGTAGTCTCCCTCTCTTCTCATACAAGAAGAAAGGGAAGAGGCCTCTAAGGACCTAGCGCTGGGGGGGGAGGGGAATGATGGAGGACCAGTCCCAGTCAAAGATTTTAGATTTAGACAAACTTCTTTTTTTCGTAAAAGTCGAAATGAAATTAATTAGGGCAATTACATTCTATTTGGGATTTTGCTTTTGGTTTTGATTAGGGAATGATGAAAATTTCACTCGCTCAAGCTAAATGAGTTCTTTTGCGAAGGATTCAATTGCCTGCTTTATTGTACCGGTAAGCTCTGCCTATCAATGCAATAGCTTCCGAGCAAGTTATGTGGTTCTACACAAACAAAATTGCTACTAAAGTGAAGCAGCTACTAGAAAGAAACACTCGCTATGTGTGATTCGATGTTAAGGCCCCTACAGCAAGTTCATTTTTCCTAACCAAAGAAGAGATATAGATTACGTTCATCTCATAAAGATGTTCCTTTTTTTCACTCCTAAATGCGGCCTTTCTCTTATATACGATACCATTCGCCATGGATGATACGATTCAAAGAGACAAGAACCTATTCTTGTTCCAATCGTTTGAGGAAAGCCCGTTTTTTTGTCATCAATGAAATTGGATATATGACTTATAAAACCTCATCTCGTTCAGTCTGGGAGATAGTGGAATTTTATCTTTCAACCCGTACATACACCTTTTTTTAAATGAAAGGTATTCTAATATAATATAATAAAGGTATTAGTAGTATAGTAGTCACATCCTCTCTTCATTCTCTGCTTCCTTTCTTTCATCTGTGAGAGATACTGGATCTAATTCAGCATCTGCTTTCAATGGTTTGATACCCTCCCGTCCCGAGCTAACTTGAGAGCTGGGATACTCTGGTTGAATTGCTTCGCTCCGTCGGTGCTCTCAAGAAGTCGCTAGAATGACACTGACTCTTCTTGCATCGAAAAAGAGTGAAAAGATCTACCCTCAAGAACTTGTGCTACTCATGTTCTTTGCTGCTTTCTTACTTAGATTATTTAATAAAATGGAATCAAGCCCTGTATGATATGACTCATCGGGTCAGTATGCTTTTCTGCTCATCAAGCTAATCAGTA